CATTAGTCTAACTAAAATGTTTTCAAAAATATTTTATAGAATAATTTAAAACAACTAATACTAATAGGAAAATTATTAATAAATTTTACAATATAACTTGTTTTGTTATAAATTGTTTTGTTTTTCTAAAAAGGGGGTTAAGGAGGTTGTTTGAACATTGAATCTAAATTTTCCTGAAAATAATAAGAAAAAAATAGAGTCTATTGGAAAAATAAACTGGAAAATGGACTGTCAGTACTCTGACACTTATTAGTTAAAAGCAAGTATAGGATGGTAGGGAGGTAAAAGTTCCCCTAAGTGTTAAAATAAGGAATTTTTTGCTTGGAATATGTGACTGAATGTTAATAGGAACTGAGTATACCCATACATATTTCAAATTGTTTACATATTAACTAAATTGTTTACATATTAACTAAATTAACATAAAAGTTCCCCTAAGTGTTAAAATAAGGAATTTTTTGCTTGGAATATGTGACTGAATGTTAATAGGAACTGAGTATACCCATACATATTTCAAATTGTTTACATATTAATTAAATGCTTATTTTTAAATAATTTTATAGAATTTTATTTGACTTGATGAAATCCCCTGGCAATTATCTCAAAAATGAAATCATTTTTTTAAAATATATTAAAGATCAATGTAAATGTTTTAACCTACAAATGCCAAAGAAATATAACTAAGTATCTTAAATATATATAAAAACATATTTGTCAGATATTCATATATCTTTTAATAAATATAGGGTTTTTCAGTCAAACATTCTCTTAGAACCATGATCCATCCTATCATCTCCCCCTACTCATATCATTTGTTCAGAATTCTTCTAGACTTGCTTACCCCTTTAATAAATACCCTTTTCTGCCTGCTTTTGAGGAATTTAGAGATCTCATGGTGAATCATCTCTTTTTCCCCTTTCCTATTTGACCTTTTTTTTCCCTCTAACTTTTGAAGAACATAATTAATATGTTTATTCTTTTCCCTATATAATAAGAAGTAAGGATTTAGAATTCAGTAATTATAGAATGAATACCTCTCACTTCCAACAGTCCCCTTAGCAATCTTGCAGGCAGATCAGGCAGGCAAGATAATATATGAAGAAAAATTCAGTCTGTCTGTATGTAGTGGAGAAGGATTGCAGGAAACAACCTCTAACCTTGATGATGCATTGCTACTTTTCTTCCCTTTTTTTTTTTTTTCCCCCTTTAAAACCTGTCATCACTGAACAGAATCTTTGGAATTGATCTTGGGACATGATCCCACCTTCTTTCCAGATTCCTGGCTTTTCTGATTAAAGCACCTTTCCTTTCTGTTGACATTTGCCCTTTAATTATTGACTTTCAAGCAGTTAGCAGCTGATCTTGAATTTGATAACAATGGTTAGAGAATTCTTACTGCAAGAGCCCCCCTCCTCCCCCTGCAACAGGCCATACTCCCTTATTGCAATTGTCTTTTTGAATAAATTATCTCCTAACTAAGCTGGATTTGTTTGTAATTTTACAAAATTTATTATGAGTAACTTTAAAACCTTTTTTGATATTTAAATTTGTTTTGGGCAGTGAGCAGTGATGCTTGTGTATTGAATAGGCTGTTACAGTATGTGAATATAATGAAATACTGTTTCCAAGAGTTAAACATTCTATTTCCATGTTCTCATTTACTTCAGTGAAATTACCATTGCTTAGAAAATGGCTCAGAATGCTGTGAAAGAAACTCTTCTGTATGCAAAGTGCCAACTAAAGAATGTCACTGCTCATTTTGTTTTACAAGGATGAAGTCACCAGACATTGCAGCTGCTGACCTTCAACACCCTTGAAAGGGGTACATGGTGAAAATCAGGAGTGAGGACCTCTGTTCTCTGGTAAAAACTCTCAGAACAGACCTTCAGATAATTATATGTTTTCAGGAGAAGATTGTCTGAACCCAATTCTTGTACCTCCTCATATCTAGAAAAGCACCAATGTCATTAATAGAGACATCTGCTCTGCAAGATTAGCAGCAACATTCTATCAAAATAGGTGTTGGTTGCATGTAACCCCCTGACTAAAATCATGCATATACTCACGTCTCCCTATTTTTTGGATCAGTTCCTCAGAGAGTCTGTCTCCATGGCTGTAGTCTTCAGTAAACCTAAATGAAACTTAACTCACAGCTCTCACATTGTGTTTTTATTTTCAGTCAACAAAACGTAGAAACCAAACTAACAAAGTATAGGAAAGAGCTCTTCCAGGCGTTATTGAGAATTGGTAGTTTTGGAGAGAAAGGAGAGAAGGCAGAAAGAAATTAGAATAAAAAGGCATAGTCTTGGAAACCATGTTTGAAAGTAAGATGTTATCTAGTCCAACCTTGCTCTGCTCTCTGCACAGTAGGCCAATAAATCTGAGAGACAAGATGTTGAGGCAAAAAGGGGACTTTAATCAGGGACCTGGCAGACCAAGAAGAAGGCAGGCTAGTGCTTCAAAATAACCATCTTAGTGAGGTCTGGATGCCAGACTCTTTTATAGATTAGAGATGAGGAAGCAAAGTAAAAAGGCCACTAATCTTGCAAACATCTCCTGGAATGGTAAGCCTCAGGCAGTGGGTGTGTTAACTTCTTCCTTCTTGCCATCCACCAGTGGACAGGGTTCTGAACAAAGACACTTTAGTTTAACAGTCAGGCAGAGGGGCAGGATTCTCTGAGGTAAACCATTCTGTATGATTATAATAACAAAAGCAAAGAAAAGCAAGTCCAAGAAACAGTTTGGCAGAATTGGCTTCCTCACTGCAACAGTGAGATCTTCCTAGAAATACAGAGAACAAATAACCTGTACACACAAGTGGATTATTTCTTGTATTTCCTTATTATAGCGCAAACACTCTGCCTTTATGAAAATGGAATCTGGTGGAGCCAAACAATTCTGTGTGTTTGTGAGGCAGTGAATTAGAAGAGAGGCAGAGAAGGAAGGTGTGATATTCTCTCACTCACTTTACTGGGACCTCAGCAGGACCTAGACTTACTTTGTAGTAGGTAAGAAATCCAAAGCTTCCTGACAGGATCCAGAAAGGTAGAAATGTGACTGCTTTTATGGTTAAGGGAATGAAAATCTAACAGGGCAGACAATGTGACTCAGGAAATGTTATTACTAGCAAATGACTGTAGGGGAGAAAACAATTTTCCATCTATCCTCTAAGGTTCTTGTCTGAGACCCCTTTCTGTAACCAAAGCTAGAGTAACAGAAGAAAAACAAAGATGTAAACCTCCCATATAGAGAGACCCAGGAAAACTGAGTAAATCCCTAGAATGGCCTTTCACTTCCTTAAAACCATCTTCTGTAAAAACCCAGAAGTTTGGGGTAGGGAAGGCAGTTCTGGGCAGTTATTAAATGTAAATGTCTCTTACAAAAACAAAATTGCTATCTGGTTCTTTCAGAGCTTTTCCCAAGTCTGCAGTCTTTTTTTTTTTTTTTTTTTTTTTTTATAATAACCAGCTACCAATAATCATTATGCCAATGGGGCATGTGTGAGGATGGTATATTTTACTTCAGTTAATATCAGAGTTTAGTTTAGACAAACAGAATACCTAAGTGCTAAGCAGCCAATGACTTAATTCTTTACCAAAGAGTTTACCAAAACTGAAGTGTTTATTATTTTTCTTTTTTTGTAGCTGTCCTGAATTCTTTTGTTTGCAATATTTGTATTTTCTACACTTTATTACAATTGCTTGAAAATGCTTTAAAATAAAATTTATTTTATGAAGTAATTTTATTAATTTTAATAAAATGTTTTAACACCCATACATTTTATTTTTACTTTATATATAGATGTATCAAGGACACATAACTAGAATTGCATGAAAATCTTAGTAGAACTGCACTCAAATCATATTATGCATCAGAGAAGGAAAGCATAAGATCATTTAGAAGTTACTGATTAAGTTTTATTTTTATATTGCAAATAGGGTAAAACTCCATATTTTTATAGTGTGAAAATAAAATAAATGTTCTTAATTATGTTAAGATAAATAATATCATACTTATCACCAATTATTGGTTCTGTTAAATTTCACACATCCTCTTCAGTATTGATTATTATTTTGAACTACAGAAATATTATTGCTATCTACTACTGACAAACTACAAATGTAAAAACAAACAAACAAAAAATCTAAAAAATATTCTACAAATTGATAGGGCCCACTTGGGGTCTCATTTTTAAGATGGCGCATTATGTTTGTTAGGTAGTTAGAACAGGGAAAAGCAGTCCAGAATGACAGTGGCTAAAAGACAAGAAAGGGAAAAGCCTGTGAAAATAGAATAAAGGAAGGTCTGAGGACTGGAGTGAGGGCCTCAGGTAAACCAAACAGTCCTCCTGGCTAGCCCAATTTACACAGGGCAGGTTCAGGGGGAGGAGAAAAAAAAAAAAAAAAACATAAAAAGAGAAGCCAAAATTGAGCCAGGTGCTTTTCTTCTCATCTTTTGGGTCAGCCCACCCTCACAACTTGCAGATGTATTTTCCTTTGCTGGCCAAATAAAACTGAGCTGTAACATGTAGCTGTAACTCTGGTCCATCTCTTGCTTCAAATTTTTGCTGTGGTGAGACAGAACCAAGGAAATTACACACTCCCCCGACATACTGACTTCTCAAACAAAGAATAAAATCACAGTGATCCTTGAGACTGACCAAGTTGCCCAAATGACATTCTGTTTTCTCACTGGTACCTACCTTCAAAGTTACGAGACCACCAGATTCCAAACCTCCAGCAACATGACCACATGACTCAACTACAAGCTAAAAATTAATCATCTCTTCAGAGAATTTTTCAATGGTGGGGTATAAGAGAGAGCACATCAGAAAGGGAGGACACGAGCTCTCCTTAAGAGCCAGTCACCCTCTGTTTTCCCTCTAATAAAGTTCCCTTTCTTGCCTGACTGCCTGGCTCCCTCTTTTTCTCTGCACTCATCTTACAGTCTGGTGCTGAAACCCAGGCGGAAGATCCACCCCAACTGGGTGGGCTCCTCTCATGAGCCCACCTCTGGTGGTCCCCTCCCTTGAACCTTGCCCAGAAAGTGAGATGAGCTCTGGGACAGGCCTCTCCACTTGCCTTACTGGGCTGACATCCACATCGGCCCACATTTCATCCGTTGGTTACAAGGGTGAGTGCAATCCCATTCTCTCAGACTCTCTGTCTCTCACCTCCTTTCCAAGTCCTAGTGGTAGGCGGGACGATCCCCATGGCCCTCAGGCCCTCGGCCTTGTGCCCCATCTGACTTGAAATAGGGGACGCCCATTTCAAAGCAGACTATTATTACTCTCTGAGAAAGTCCTGAGAGCAGGAATGCCTCCTCTCAGACATTTCTCCTCATTTTCTCTCCCCCTTGTCTAACCTCCCTATTTGGTTGCAATGGGAAATTCTCAATCCTAGCCCTCAAAGTCTACTCCTCTAGGACACCTTCTCCAAAACATAAAAGCCTTGGGTTTCCAAGGGGAGATAAGACAAAAAAGACTTATTTACTATTCTAACACTGTCTGACCACAATGCAGACTTTATAATAGGCCTCAATGGCCAGAAAACAGAATTCTTCATTGTAATACTCTACAGAACCTTGATAACTTCTGCCACCACCATGGCAAGAGGTTAGAAATCCCTCATGGTCAGGCTTTCTTTGCTCTTCACTCTCGACCCTCTCTCTGTGAATACTGGTCTACTTCTCAAATACTCTTAGCTCTTCTCTGGGCCACATCCTCCTCATATAAAGTCTCCTGATGTCTATTCAGACATTTCTTCTTCTTCCTTGAGCCATTCTGACCACAGCCCACATCCTATGCTTTCCAAACCCTTTACAGCCGCTCCAGATCCAGTTCCACAACCTCCACCTTATGCCCCGTCCTCCCTCCCAGCCCTGTTCCACTGCCTGTGCTGGAGGCAAGATCTGAGACCTCAGCCCCAACCTATACCCTGAGGGTCCCAAGGCTTTACCTGACCTCCATAAGTCCCCTCCCCATACCCCATCCTGAAAAACTTTAAAACAGGAAACTTCACAACAGGGCCCCCTCCTTTCCCTGCCCCACTCCTCCCTTTATGGGAAGCAGCTGGAGCAGAAGGCATTGCTCATGTTCATGCCCCATTCTCCCTCACCAATTTGTCTCAGACTGAAATATGTCTTGGCTCCTTCTCCTCAGACCCTGATAATTATCTAAAAGAATTTGAGTATCTTATCCAGTCTTAGTCCCTTGGACTGCAAGGAGATCCAACTGGTCCATCCTAAAAGAGATTGGTCTTGGGTATTTATTGGAACACCCATTGGATGCTGAAGCTGAAACTCCAATACTTTGGCCACCTCATGTGAAGAGTTGACTTGCTTGAAAAGACCCTGATGCTGGGAGGGATTGGGGGCAGGAGGAGAAGAGGACAACAGAGGATGAGATGGCTGGATGGCATCACCGACTCGATGGACATGAGTTTGAGTAAACTCTGGGAGTTGGTGATGGACAGGGAGGCCTGGCATGCTGCTATTCACGGGGTCTCAAAGAGTCGGACATGACTGAGCAACTGAACTGAACTGAACTGAATCCAATCTTAAGACTTAACATGGTATGATATTTACATCATGCTTTCCTCCACTCTTCTCCAAGAAGAGAAGGAACAAGCGTTTCAAGCCTCTCAGGCGCATGCTGATGAGATATGCAGGACTGACAACACTAAGTTCATAGGACCATGGCTGTTTCTGAGAAGATCCCAACTGGGGTTATCAGGCAGGGGGACCTGGATGAGCATCCCATAATCATACAGTTGTTTGCCACATTGTGAACCTTCAAAATCCAGGGCATAAATCTGTCAACTTTGATAAGCTCTGAGAAATAATTCAAAGGCTAGATGAAAACCCAGCACAATTTCTAGCCAGGTTAATGGAAGCCCTACAAAAATATACAAGATTAGAACCCACTTCAATAGAGGGCACCATTGTCCTTGACACACATTTTATTTCTCAGTCATCCCCAGATATCCAGAAGAAACTTCAAAAGGCAGAAGAAGGCCCTCAAACCCCCAACGGGACCTTTTAAATTTAGCCTTTAAGATTTTCAGTAACTCAGAAGAATAGGCAAAGCTAGAGAAGGCCCAACAAGATCAGGCCAAATACCACCTTTTAGCCACTGCCCTCCATGGCTCCAAGCCTCCATCAACCAACAAAGAAAGGAAACCACTTGGTCCTGCTTCAAATGTGGCAAAGAAAGCCACTGGACCCTTTGCAGGTTCATGTCCCAGCTGTGGCATAAAGGGACATTGGAAGGTTGCCTATCCAAACCCCCCTCTAGGGATCTGGGCATCCCCTCATGGTCTTTAGAAGGGGTCCTCTGACCCAGTTCTGCCCAGCATCCTCAGACTGACCACTGGAGACTGAAGGTGCCCAGGGCTCCAGGCCCCCGCTCCCATCACCTCTATGGAGCCCAGGATAACTCTTACAGTCGCAGGTAAGCTGATCTCCTTTCTCTTCGACACAGGGACCACTTTCTCTGCTAAGCCTGCCTACTCTGGAAAATCAAGGTCTGCTACTGGAATTGACAGTTTAATATCTACACCATGAATATTTGAGCCTCTACCTTGCACAAATCAGGATATCTCATTTCCCCATTCTTTTCTCATACTCCCCAAATGCCCCACTCCTATCCTTGAGAGAGAACTTCTCTCAAAATTCAAAACCTTTATAACTATCTGAAGCCCACCCTCTGATCTAGCCTGGTTACTGCTCTTCAACTCCACCTCCTCTTCCCCTGCCCCATTGTCCTCCTCGTCCATAAACCCCAAAGTCTGGGATACAGATAAACCCATCTGTTGCCTCTCACCATGCTCCAATTCATATCCATCTCAAAGACCCCCTCTAAATTCCCCAATCAACCACGATACCCCATCTCCCAAAAATATCAGCAAGGGTTAAAACCTATCATCACTAAACTCCTACATCAGGGCCTCTTATTCCTATAACACCTCTATCCTACCTGTAAAAAAGCCAAATGGCTCCTATCACCTGGTCCAGGACCTGAGACTTATCAGTGGGGCTGTTATCCCCATAAACCCAGTAATTCCAAATCCCTGCACATTCTCTCTCTCAGTCCCTCTTCCACTACCCATTTCACTGTTATAAACCTCAAGAATGCCTTCTTTACTATCCCTTTACACTCAGACTCTCAAGACCTGGACTGATCCAGACAATCATTGCTCCCAACAGCTGACATGGGCAGTCCTCCCACAAGCCTTTTGTGATAGCCCTCATTTCTTTGGCCAAGCTCTAGCATCAGACCTAACCTTTCTTGACCTTACCCTGAGTACTGTCATCCAATAGGTGGATGATCTCCTCCTTTGTAGTCCTTCGCTTACACACTCAACAACACACTATACAGCTCTTCAATTTTCTAGCTGATCAAGGCTATAGAGTCTCTTCCACTAAGTTTCATCTCTCTGTTCCTAGAGTCACCCATCTCAGAGTCCTTTTAACACCAACAAGAATATATATTTCTCCTGATACAAAGTCCCTTATATTTACCCTACCATTCCCTCCATCAGAAACAGAGATCCTGTCCTTCTAGGGGTTAGCTGGATATCTACGCCTCTGGATTCCTAATTCGCCCTCTTGGTACAAACCCTATATCAACCCCCCCAGGAGGCCTTTCAAAACCCCTAGAGCTAAAATCAAATATCCGTTCAGCCTTTAGCACCCTTAAGTAAGCCATTCTCTCAGCTCTGACACTTCCTGACCTCTCTCATCCCTTTATATTCCACACTACTGAGAGACACAAAATTGCCCTAGGAGTTTTGGGATAAAATCAGGGCCTCTCCTTTACCCCTATCACTTATCTATTTATCAAAGCAATTGGATCCAACATTCTGAGGACTGCCAGCCTGCCACCGAGCTCTGGCAGCAATTGCCCTCCTCACTCAGGAAAGTAAAAAGCTTATTTTTGGAGCACCCACTGTCATTAACTCACCACATGGCTTTAAGGACTTACTTTCTCACAAATCCAAGACCCTTCTATCTCCTTCATGCATCTAACTAATTCATGTCACCCTTCTCGGATCTCCTGAGTTCTCCTTTGAACACTGTCCTACTCTCAACCCCACCACCTTTATCCCTAATTCTTCTGAGCCCCCCATCCATACTTGCAAAGAAGCGTTAGAAGACCTGATGCCCCATTTCTCTAACATTTCCTCAACCCCTTAAATAACACTGGTTTTAGTCAGTATATTGATGGCAGCTCCTCTATGACATCAGAAGGAAACAAACAAACAAACAAAAAAAAAGTAACTGGATAGGCAATTGCCTCTGACACCAAAATTATTGAATCCCAACCTCTCCCCTTGGGAACCTCTTCCCAAAAGGCAGAAATTATTGCACTAACTAGAGCACTTACCCTCACAGCTAAGAAAAGAGCAAACACACACACAGATTCTAAATATATTTTCCACATCATACACTCACATGCTGCCATCTGGAAGGAACGAGGGCTCCTATCTACTAAAGGCTCTCCCATAACTAATGACCCACTTATACTCTAACTTTGAAAAACAGCTAACATGCCAACTGAATTAGGCATCATGCAATTGCTGAGGTCACCAGGTGGCCTCAGATACCATTTCACAGGGCAGCCATGCTGCAGACAGAGAAGCAAAATAAGCCTCACTCCAATCACCAGCTCAACAACTTATAGTAATCCCCAACATAAAGCCCCTTTACCTCCCTGAAGGAAAAAACATGATTATTACAAGAAGGAGCACAATCACAAGGAGACTGGTTACAAAAACAGGGCCACTATGTCCTTCCCCAATCTTAGACACAGATTCTTACAGTCATTCATCAGGCCCTGAACCTAGGCGCTAAACCTCTTTATCACCTCTTAAGACCTCTTCTCACCTATCCTAATCTTCTTCACTCCTACAACAAATCACTCACTCTTCTATTATCTTGCTCCTCAGTCTCATCACAGGGAGCCCTAAAGTCAACTCCCTCATTCCCAACACATCAGGCTCCAGGACATATCCCTGGAGAGGACTGGCAATTTGACTTCACTCACATGCCTCCAAGACAAAAAATAACAAGCATGCTAACTCCAGTAGCGATAAGTAAAGCAAAAACAAATGTATTGCTTACTAGTTGGACTG